TGAATTGGAAACTTAGATGCTAATTTTCCTTAACTGCACCATACACAAATGCTTTTCTAAAGCTTAGGGAAGTTACCAAATTCTTCTTACTGCAAGATTGCATCCTGACAGCACTGGGCTGTCCATCCTGCCTCCTCAGGATGGAGAAGCAATCTGCCAGAGCACCCCAAAAAACAGTATAGTTGAGGAAAAAGGTAAGGGGAAACATATCATGTCCCCCCTCTTCTTTTTTTTTTTGCACTCTGTGTTGTCAGAAAGTACTTTGATATTTCATTTCCTGCGCACTACTTTACCAGAATCTCTTTTAATTAAAAAAAAAAAAATTCCAAAAAAAAAAAAAACCAAACCAAAACAAAAAGAAAAACAACAACAACAGCAACAACAACAAAACAAAACAAACAAAAAAAACCTAAGCAAAAAACACAAAGTAAAATCTTACAAAAAAGATACTTGGCCATGAGAATTGAGAAGAGATTCTGTAATTTTGAATCTTGGTTAGAGGCAGAATGCTGGCCAAAATGTCAGAGCACACTCCCTATTGAAAAGAGCAACAGGACCTAAATATTAGTTTTGTTATAGAATTCTTAATCTGATGAACAAGAGGGAGTTTTTTGGGTTTTTTTGTTTTTTTTTTTTTTCCACAAGTCGCTAAAACAATAACAATTGCTTCTAGTTAGAGTTTGTTTCCATATGGATATTATAAAAGAATCAAATAACTGCTTATACTGATCATTAGTGAAATTATTTAAAATTAAAGTCCTTAATTATTTAGTTTAATAGGACAGATTTTGAGAGATAAATTTGCTGAAGCACAGGCATATAATATACTGAATAAAAAGGATTTTTTTTTACTATTTAAAAAATGAAAAGTGATTTACTCATGGAAGTAAGACAATTGTTATTTCCCTTCTGTACCTACTCCTGCAGTACCCTACCTGACACAATTGTTTCTGATGAGTTGAGATAGCTCTTATCCAAACCGGGTGATTCACATCCCAATCAAGAGGAAAAATCCATAAGGATGACCTTTCAAGATAAGATTTGCAAGAATATTGGGAATAAGAATTTTGTGAGGAGGAAAGCTTTGACCAGAAAAGAAAGTTATGCTTTGGAAATCCAAAAAATGAAAGGAGAAAATTAGTTGGAAAGCATTGTTTACAAAAATAAATGAAAAAATGTTGCTTATTTGTAGAAATAAAAACTAACACATGAATCAAGTGTTGCTGCTATATATAAGGATAGTATGGACTAAAGATAACTGATATATGAGCAAACAGTCAGTAATGCATTGCTCTCTGCTCTTATGGAAAGTGCGGTGAGGGCAGGACTATTAATATAAAAGAATAGATATAGAAACTGCATATTCAGCAGGGAAATAGTTGATCCCAGGGTGGTGGCAAAGTTATTTAAATGCTGTCCATACAAGTCTTAAATGGTTCAATGAGATTTGAGAATAGGTTATGTATATTTTCTATATAAAAAGGGAGTAGTGGTGTGATTCAGACAACTGATCTGTTAGTTTGATCTCAGCTCATTAAGCACTATGTAAAAAGAACAAACAACATCTTGCTGAAAGAAAAGGCATAGAAAGAAATGACTAATGGAGTTTTCCTCGATCTGTCTTCTAACTTCCCTGGTTAAATATTTTCACCAATAATATTGGCTCTGTAATCTGGTGCTCCGATGAAATTTGTTGCATATACTTTGCAGTGATTAACAAACCATAAGAGATATTGAATAATAGATAAGAAGAAGGAAAACTGGATTAGCATGTGGCCCTAGTACTAGAAATGAGATTAAATTAAAACAAAGAAAACAGCAGGTCATACTTTTATATCATACATCATCACACATACATAATTTCTTCAGTGATGAAATGACAGAAGATCCTGTGTTACCTAGTTAGCCATAGCCTGTCTAATAGTACCGACATGATATGGTCTTCAAAAAGAAAAAATATTTTTGGGATCATATCAGAAAATATATTTCCAGCAGTCAATGTGTTGAAAAAGAATTTTTTTTAATATATAATGCAAAGTTTGGACTTAAGTTTTTGGAAGGAGGTATCTTAGAATGAGTCTCTAACCAGTTGCCAAGGTGCAGAAGAGGATTTTCTTCTTTCTTAATACTGGATATGTGCAAGGAGATTACTGGGTCATGTAGAAAGTTGATCAAAATATGTGCCATGTCTAATGGCATTGAGAGTTTATAGCTCTCTTGGGCAGCTGACAGGACTCACTGTCAATAGTATAAAAATAAAAAAGAAGAGGAAATATGTTGCAGGAAAAAGTGCAAACACTCACAACATTCAAAGTGTCACTACAGACATGAACAGATCAAATACTCTCTCCAGGCACCCAGCTTTACAGTCCAAAGATAACACATTCAAATAAGACAAAGGTCAGAATGTTTCATTCAGTCCTACAGCTCTGTTTTATCCTTTTAAAGTAACAGAGGCTTTGTTTGGTTTTGATTTTGCTCGCCTATTAATTACCTTAAAGGGAGTGCTTTATTAAGGATATGTTCTAGATTAGAATTTTCTATGCCAGTCAAGTGTTTTGATAGCACAAACACAGTACATGGAAGTAACACTCATGACTCACTATTAGTTTTTGAGTACAGAAGGTGGTGCCACACCAGCTGGGTGGAAGTACACGGAATAATCACCAGATCCTGCAGGTTTGGAAGTCACTCTTCTTTTTCTTTCATTTATATCTCCTCCCCGACTTCCCTCACCCTTCTCTCATCATGCATCTTGATAAATCACAACTACATTCTCCATGATAGGTACTGAATCCTCTGATATGCGCATAGAGTGCTATAGCACAAATGCTTCAGTATGAATTTCCCCGTAATAGGATTTTAGCAGGACTTGCTCCGCTCTTGCTTGGATCTTTCTTCTCTGTGGGAGTTCTGTGTGCTGCTACCACCAACCAAGAGGTCAGTCTCTTTCTGCCTCCTCAGAATATGTCCAGATAGCTACTCAAAGTACAAGCCCACAGATTAAGGTCCTGCAGGCTGATGTGCTAGCAGGTCTAGACTGCAAGGTCATTAGATCGCATTACTAATGCAGGAAGTGAAGGATGCAGACACTGACATTCTGTTCCCTGCCCTGGACTCTCACATATCCAGCTGTTGGAGCAGTGAAGCATTAGGACACACCTTGGCTCTGTGACAGTGCTTTGGCAGTTTCTCTTCAACATTACTTATTCATCACCCCTAGGAGCTAAATAAATGAATGGCACACTTGACAAGTGGGCCAGTGACTGGGGGATCCCACATGCCAGGTCATAATGATGAGAGCAGGCAGCAACACTGCAGCAAAATTAAGCAAGTATTCCTAGTTCACATCCTTAATGAGGATCATTTGGTGTATGTTACCGCTATTTTGTCACTCCTTCCAAAACTATGCTAGCAGCACAAGAGCACAATTCAACAATTCCTGGGCTAGCAGTCAAGTGGTAGCTCCAGAAGCAGAACAATTTAATCAGAGTATAGCTGCATGCACACAAATTATCTTTGCTAGGATGCAGGTGCTGTGGTATTATGTCTGCGCTTCTCTTGATCTGATCTGATCTGATCTGGTAGCTCTGCAGATCCAGGCAGTGTACCCTATGATTGTATCTGCTCCATTAGCTTCAGCTTGGCAGGGTCCTGGCCCTGCTGTGTTGTGCAGTATAGATAGTTCTCCAGCTTGTAAAGAGTAGAGTTTCTCCTCAGAAACCCTGCTGACACCACAAGCTGCTTTTCAAGCCAGTTATCTTTCTTAAGACATGTAAACTGAAAAAGGAGTTCCTCTGGACTGCTGAGAAATGATACATAGACTTACTTTTATATTTGTCTCAAAAAGACATACTGTTCAAAATTCAGTACTGAAGGAGTAATCTGAACTAAGTAGGTTTCATATTCTTCATTACTTTGTCAAATATAAAAAAAAGTATAATGAAATTCATAGAAGTGAGTGAATATAAAAGAAATTAGGTTATTATAGTGAAATGTGGGGATTTGATCAGACTGTTTAAATCATGATACCTTAGAAAACTTAGGCTAAATAAGGGAACCAGTAAGGAAGATATTTTGTTTAGCAACAGTCCTTTTTGCTGTTACTCACTGTCATTGAGACTGGTGTGCATATTATAACAAAAGATATGACAGGGAAAGTCAAATTTCCAGGCTGGAATTAATGTTCCAAATGCGGTTTTCTGAAATTACAGGTAATGAGGTTATAAACTATCCCTTTTACCAGAGGCAGGGTTGCACACAAGGGAAAAATCCAGTTAGAAGAGATATCACTTTTTCAGGTGACAGTAGTGGGACATCACAGGATTGCAATTAGACTTCCTAACCACGCATGAATCTTTCAGACAGCAAGGCTGAAAGCTATCTGTTCTGCAGATATTTGCAGTGAGTTTTAATTTTTTTTCTGTGACTATGACTATCTGTTTCTGCTCACTAATAGATCCCCACATGATAACACATTTCTCTCATTCCCCCATCTCAGATGCAAAGCAAGTAGATGTGAGGGAAGGAATTTAAAGGAGAGAAAGAGAAAATTAGAAATAAGGAGCCTAGAAAAGGAGATGGACAGCAGGACAAGTGGGCAAGAAGTCCTGAGAGGAATTTAAGAGAATAGAAAAGACAACACATACACATTGAGAAAGACATGTATGTAAGGGAATTATTTAAGAATGCGCAGAGATAGCTGCCAAAACTGGTACTATTTGTTTTGTCTCAAAGTATTTTGTTTTGCAGCTTTAACATAGGGATTGGCTGTGGAGGGGAATACCCTACAACTCTGTTATTAAAATAAAATAAAGCGGAATATTATTATCCAAGAGGATAGATTTGAATGTCCAGTGTTGGGAATTTCAGCTAATTCCCTCTGTAGCTTGAGACTGATGGTCTTTCTTCTAACTTTGTGTCTTAAGTGCCCTCACTGTTTTTCAGAAGATACTATGTTGCACTGCAGAGACAGCTGAAGTTAAGTGGAGAAATCAATCTCTTGTCAAAACACACTGGAAGTTTAATAGAACAGTTACAATTAATTGAAAACATTCAAAATCATTTTAGAAACTTCAAGGTCAGGTATAGGAGTGTTTGGCTCCAGGTTTCTTGATTGCAGTTGTCTTTTTCAGCATATATCTGAAATTTAAAGTAAATATGAAATATTTATTATGGTAATGATATCTCAGTCCCACATCTCTGCCTTGGCCTCGTTTGCTCCTTTTCCTCTTCATTTTCTGCCATTCTGTGTTCAGAGTGCTCAGCTTTCCTCATGGGTATCTCATGAGTGCTGCATGTGGAGATGAAGGACTTCTCAACTGCAAGATGCAGAATGTCAGACCAGTATTGCCAAACTTTGTTGGATACTTTTTGGAACAGGAAAATTTCATCAAGACAAAGCTATTTTCTTCTTTTAGAGGAAAAAACAATCTTGCAAAGAACAGCAACATAAAACCCCTTGACTCAAAGTGTCCAGCTTAAAAAAAAAAAAAAAAAGTAAAGGTGTTCCACTGGCAAAGATAGAAAGATTTTTTCAGCAAAAGAGAGCCCATTCAGGTCAGCATCAAATCAGCCTGTTTTACTTTTATGCTTTGTTTTATAATTATTTTTCTTTACATACACAGCATTTGAAGTTGGAATAACTGGGTCAGGAGACCAGATTTCCAAGGCTGGGATTGCAATGAATACTTCACTATACATGAGGAAATAAAAGGCCAGTAGAATGTCCTGCATGCCTTTTTCCTATGAAATAAATAACCCATTCTCATATCCCCACAAGAGAGTATTTCAGAGGCCCAGTGGTCAGCCAGCCACAAGGACTGAGCAGCTACCACTGTAATGAGAGAAAGGCTTTAGAAGAACAACTGTGACACAAAACAAAGACTACACTTTTCCAATGCACTAGGGCATAGTTGTCATAACCTTTGAAACCTCCTGCCTGATGGCTTCTCTGAGGTTAGTGAGTGTCATTCGGACAGTACCAATACCTCTCAAGGGCTTGATTTTCTGTTATCTTAGAGGATATTTGTAATCTCTCATGTGAAAGTGAGTGGCAGGAATCAGAGAGCAGAATTTTCTTCTTCTCTAGACCCACTTTTCCACCACCTAAGTGACTAAATAGTGCATAGCAAAGTAACAATCCTCTCTCCAAAAACTCAAATTAAATTCTCCCAAGGTATTGTCACATTGTCACCTTTTTTTTTGGAAACACAGCTTAGAATCTGGCAATACTGAAAACACTGGGAAGAGGAGATGAGAGAATAGAGTGAATACACAAACAGCTCCTATTTTCTTTTACAATATCACATCCAAAGATGTAAAAGAGGGAAACAGTCAGTGAGTTATAGAATCACAATTCTTTATTGTGATTTGTGAGAACTCAAAAGAACTGAAGTGCTTAAGGAATCTGAAATGACAGAGAGAAATTAAAGCCTGATGCTAAATCGGGAAGTGACTTAACAGTATCTGAAAAAGTAAAGTCTTTGATATAAGCATCTAGAAAAAAAAAAGCCAACAGCCCAAAAAGATGCCATGATATTCTTTGTTTTGTTGTTTTGTGGTGGGTTTTTTTGGTTGGTTGGTTGGGTTTTTTTTTTTTTGTTTGTTTGGTTTTTTTTGGTTTTTGTTGTCGTTGGTTTGTTTAGGTTTTTTTTTTAATTTTGGTTTTTTTTTTTCCAGTTTTCTGCCTTTTGGTTTTTTAACATGGTAAATATCTTTGGATAAAAAACTAACTTTCTCAGAGTGATTTTTGTTACAGATTCACTTATCTTGATTAGATGATTACCAGACTAGAAATCAGCTTTTTTTTACAGCAATTTAAGCCAAGAAACAAGCAGAAAAAAAGTCGTCTCCCAGGTAAACTAAAAATCTGGCTATAAACACTACCACCTAGTTGTGAGAGGCACAATGAAAGACATGTATACTGCTGAGCCTAAATGGAACTTAATTGATTTCCCAGTCATATAAAATTCTTCCATCATAAGGAAGTCTTGAATGTCTGTGATCTTGCTTATTTTTTTGTTGGGATTTGGAGAATGTTTTTTGTTGTTATTGATAAAACTTCTTGCTTTGATGCAAATTAAATGAGAAATGCTAATCACATTTCATCAGTTCATATGTCCAGTTGTTTATCTGAATTAATTGCAGTTCCAAATACAGGACTAGCATCAAGAGAGCAAGACAATATCAGTATTTAAAATGATTTTTTTTTCTTTTTTTCCATAATGCTTAAGGACCAGTGTGTTTCTCTTGGAGCAGTGAAGGCATATTTCCTTCTCTTAGAGTAGATGAAGACCAAAAGCTGGATCTGCACTTCAAGGAAAATGGAGGATCATGATATTTTCTTGTCCAAAATACCGCAGAATTCTCAGTATTGAGAATCATCTTTCTGACCCTGTGCCTGACTACTGGAGTGTCAGTAGTGCTGCTACATGGAGGACCATCACATACAACCAGTGAAGATAACTTCAGTCCATAAAGTTAAGTAGGATTTCTTTAACATGGAAGGGAGCAATGGGAGCAATTACTTGTGTGATGAGAGGGCAGAGCATCTGAAGTAGAGGTCATCTGTAGGAAAGGAAAAAGAGTCTCCTGGTGTTTCCCAACCCACGTACCTCCTTTTACCATGCCCTTAAATTCTAGCAAATACAAAAAAAATGTAGGCATGCTAACAGATTAAATGCAATCCTACACCTGGAGCTGCCTGGGGCAGAAGAAGCCCACTTAGAGTTAGGCTAAGAAAATGTACAAGTTTGTCTAAACTTTCCTTTGGTTATGTCTATGTCAATCTGATTGGATGGGGTTGTCGTGTGACCCTACATTCATTCTTCTCACAGTACTCAGGCACTAAATGCAATAAGCACACAGTCAGACCAGCAAAAGTGCTATCAGCCCATGAACAGTCTGTTTACAAGGAATGTTGAGTAAGGGTGGAACTGTGCAATCCTGCTCCAGATAAACAGAAGTTTTGCAGCTGTCCTGCACACAACTCCCTGATAAAAAAAAAAAAAAAAAAAAAAAAAAAAAAAAAAAAAAGTGCTAAATTGTGCAATAATGAAGGCGGGATGTAGATATTTCATGTAAAGGAAGGAAGCCAAGAGAGAAGGATATGATCATGCATAAACTCACATCAAAAATCTTTTCCTTCCTTCTTTCCTCTCTCTCTCCACCTCCCTCCCTCCTTCCCTCTCTCTCCCAAAAATCTTTCCCCCCCCTCCCCTTCTTCCCCACTCAAAAATCTTTCTCTCCATTCCTCCCTCCCTCCCTCCCTCCCTCCCTCCCTTCCTTCCTCTGTCTCTTCCTCTTTCCTTTTCTCCCTTTCTGCTCTTTTCTTCCTTCCTTTTCCCCTCTTTTCTAATTACATCAACCTCTGCTTTTTATGCATTTCTTAATTCCCTTAATCCCCTTGTTGTGTGGCTTTGCAAAAGCATGGAAGAGTAAACATATTCTTTGCTTTAACGTGTAGGATCAGTTGGATTTCTCAGTATTATACAGCCCTTTACTCTGGATACCGCTAGATACTGCTCAAACAGGGAATGTAAACAATTTCAACACTAGGTTTAGCAATATTAAATTTCCAGTTTTTCTTTTCTCATGATTGTGAGCAGAAAAGATTAATGATATCTAAGGAAATGCAGCAAAGGAGGAGGGTAATAAGATGAGGGAAGAGAGAGTTTCTCCAGCACATGGAAGGTAAGGAGGAAAAGGAAAAGACAGCATTGACGCATGTTTTCTAACCAGCATGGCTGGTTCCATACCAATTATTTTCAGACCAATTTGTTCTGATTTCTTCTGCATCTGTGTGAATGCATCTGTTTTTGTGGCAGCCTCGGCAATGGTATGTACCAAATCCCTGTTTGTAAGTCTGTGTTCTTTACAACACATGCTTTCTAATTCTGTGGAAACAGCATGTTCTAGAGAACTGCAGATGTTATTGTGTGTCAGTTAGGAGGAAACACTAGGAAGGCTCTCACGCCTCTTTCTATGTAATGAGGAAAGCAAACTATAACAGAAGCCTCTGTTTTATCACCTCCCCAAGATTTCTAAGCGTAGACAAGAATTATGCGGTGGTGTGCTTTGAACTGTAAAATGCCATGATGATTCCTGAGCAAAAGTGAGACATACTAAGGTAGTCATTTGTACCTCATATGTGCCCTGAAGTTTGACAGTGAATCTCTTTGTAGTAGTTTCTTTCAAGAAGGGCCTATGTTGTTCACAAGCAACAAATGTGGAGAGGGATATGTTCTGCTGTTCTGCTCTTGCAAGAGATAGACAAAACAGTGAATATGTTTTGCAAGTTTTGTTATTTCATGCTCAGTTTGCAGGAAGCTGGATATGGAGGCTTTCCCTTGGCTTATACTCATGCAGTCTTTCCTAACGGCAGTCCCAGCACGAGTCCTGACTGTGTTCCAGCTCCACGCGAGGACAGGATCAGGTCTTCCACTTTGCCCTGGTTTCTGTTCAGGCATGTAGCCCAAAGTTTCAGAAAGGTGTTGAGTAACTCTTGATGGATGCCTTGTTTCTACAATGAGGCAGTTGTGATTCAGTGTGGCAGATGCATCCAGCTCACAGCCTGAACTCTCTCTTGAGACTTTTAAGTCATTATTATTTTATTAGTAACATATCTCTAAAACTTTGTTCAGTGCTTATTTGAAGCATGAATAACACTGGAAGTAGTCCAGTACTTTGCATTTTTATATTGTTTTGGCATACGCTCCCAAAGGACATGGACCGGACTCTGCCCTTCAATTGCCCGTGTGGGTTTAACACCCCTTGGCAGGCACACAGACCTTTACAAGCAGCACAGTGCAGAGTCTTTTGGGAAAAGTTAGCTAACCCCTGGATGGGTACGAATGCTAAGAGAGACCAACCCCTAAGGTATTAAGAGTGAATTCAGCAAAATCTCGGAACAAATAAGCAGGTAAATAAGACAGGGCTAATCTAGGACCCCTGGAAGTCAGAAAGGAAGGCAGCAGCAGGAAGAGAAGGAAATGTTTCTTTGGAATTTGGACTGAATAATTACCTTGTGCCAAAGACATATGAATGTCTTCATGATGTCTAGAAGACAACTGAAACACCAGAGGAAAGAGTTTGCCTAAATGTCTCCAGCCGTCTCTGCAGTTAGAAGCAGATAGCCCTTATCTTGCTAGGATGGAATGTCACACCCAGCTTTGGTTACAACACAGGGGTGTGACACCACACAGCATCTTGGAGTAGATACACAAACCTCAAATTCTTAATTATTTTCTGACTACTAGTCCTTTGGATAGCTGCTGAAAAAAGCAAAGAAATCAAATCTCCAGCTGCTGTCTCCAGTGCTTACTCTCAATGAGCAGTGACATGGCATGACACAACATTACGTGACACAGCATGACAGTGCCCCAGTGAAGTGAAGCGAAATCATCTATAATGCAGATGCTCTTATTTCATTACACTTATTTCATGGCTTCATTTAATGCTGGGCAAGTGTTTCTGAAAACCAGCAGTAGATATTCCTGAGAGTAAAAGTTTGCCTTTGGAGGTGTAAAACCTAATTTTATGCTGGTTTAATGAAACATGCCTATATTTGTACAACCTGAAAATTGAAAAAAATATAAGGCTTCAAGTATGCAAAGACAATTAATTTTTTAACTTTCCAGATATGCTGAGCATCACCATATTCAACTAGACTGCAGATTCTGATGAAGCAAGCAATAATTTTTTCTTTTGATGGGTTTATAACAAATTTTCATCTTTATTCATTGCACATCTAATTAAACCTCTTTTGCAACTGAGAAGTTCACTGAATTGAACAATTATTACATTTAATATGAAGCCAAAGTGCCTTCTGTATTCCAACTGTCATTATCACTAGCTCTTCACATAAATCCAGAAAATCCTTTAATTACAGTTATTCTAGTTCTACAGGGAGAAGTGACGCTTCATAAAGCTACTCTAAATGTCAACATCAAACTTGTTTCTGCACCTTTTGAAAATTGTGATTTGAACCAATATTTGTCTACTGTTTTGGTTTGTGTATATGTCACCTTGATATCACACTGGTGGACATGGCTTCAGACTGGATATTTAGCCACATTGTAGATCAGTCAAGTCTGTATTTCTTTTCAAATGGCTTAAGCTTTGGGGGGGGAAAAAATAGCAACATGGTATTAAGTTTTCCTTTTGGTCTGTAGCCAGTCTAAAGACAGAATAAAGTCTAAAGTCTAGAGTGAATTGGACAGGAGAAGGGGTTTTGCTACAGAGCAAAGATTTAAGTATAACCTGACTAAACAATTGAACCTGTACCAGCACACATAACTTTGTCTGGAAATAATGGCTGACACAAGCAATAGTTATTCAAACATCAACAAGTAATACACAGGTCAAACACTAAAGGATTAAGACTGTGCAGAGAATTGCTAATGTGCTTTCAATCGGTAGTTGCAAATACCTCTGACACAGCAATTTTATAATGGAAAACAAAATTCTTTTAGAATGCAAGTGCAATCATACAGTAGCATGGTGTATAAAATTCTGAGTTTTACTCCTAACAGTCGCACAGTTCTAAAAGAGCAATAAAAGTAATTTAGGGGATGACATGTCTTTTAAAAGGAAGAATAGCTGACGTGATTCAGGGAAGGCAATCCAGGGAAAATGTGGGCACCCTGCCAAGCATTCCTTTCAGGTGGAACAAGTGACAAGTGACCTTTTTAGGTCACTCCAGCTCAGCTTGGCAATGGGCAACCATGCTCTACAGATCCTCACCTGGAGATGGACATCAGGATACTAGACTTGCCATCATGAGCCCCTTGTCTGTGAAACACTGAGAGCATGGGGAAAACTAAATAAGGCAGGAAAACTGAAATATTGCTTTCTTATGCTCCATAAGATCCATTATGCCTCACTTTGTCACTGTGCCTATCTTCTGACAAGGTTGTACAGATTTTACTTAAGACTGGTGCTGACTAGAGGAGTTGTTACCACCACAAATGTTCCCCAGCTAATGACATTCATGATTTCCAGTCCTCTGGCAGCCTTGCTGGGATACCTATCTCACATGCATGTCCTTCAACGTCTTTCCCTTGAAGGCAGCCAGCAGTCAGAGGTCAGGCTCTACACCTGGCTTTTGGAGGGTGGAGGTGAGGGTGGGGAAAGGCAAAGGCTGCCCGCAGGTTTTGCCCTTGCTGCTGAGGGTCATGGGGCTTGAGTCACCAACAAAGATGGTGAGGATGGGAGGAATTGAGGGAAGTGAAAGTGCCACATGCCTTTGAGGGGAAACTGTATGACGAGTGGCTGAGGTCACTTGGTCCGATCAGCCTGGAGGAGACTGAGGGGAGACCTCATAACCTTCCTTGTGAGGGGAAGCAGGGAAACAGGGCAGACTGATCTCTTCTCTGGTGACCAGTGACAGATCTTGAGGGAATGGCATTAGATTGTGTCAGGGGAGGTTTAGGCTGGATATTAGGAAAAGGTTCTTCACCAGGTGGTTGGTGCCTGGAAAGGCTCCCCAGGGAAGTGGTCATGGCACCAAACCTGTCTGAATTCTAGAGGCAAAATTTGGGCACATGGGGTGACTATTGGAGATGATCCCATGCAAGGCTAATAGTTAGACTCTATGATGCTTGTGGGTCCCTTTCAACTCAGGATATTCCGTGATTCTGTGAATTGCCCGAGACCGCTACTCCGGGAGTACACAGCGGTGCCGAGGAACCATGCGGGAAACCTCCCTCGGCCCGCTCGCCTGGGGGGACCGAACTACAACTCCCGGCGTGCAGCACGGCTCCGGCCGCCGGCCGCGGCTCCGATTGGCTGCCTCCCCCCGCCCTCCCCGCGTGACGGCGCGGGGCTGGCGGCGGCGCCCCCCGCGCTTCGGGGCCGGCGAGGGCCGGGCCGCCGGAGGTCGCGTTCGGGAGTTTGAGTGCCTGGCCGGTGCCTCGTCCCTCGGAAGATGTGTTTCGCGGAGGGGCGTTCTGGTAACCGTGGCAGCGCCTGTCGGGGTGGCCAGGGGTCTTGGGCACCGCGGGCGGGGGCTGCCAGCGCGTTCCAGAGAAATGCAGCCTGTCCATAGAATTTTGCAAGGTATCCCGGACCGACCGGTGGTTTGTGCGGTGAACAGGACCTGATTATGTATAGGGAGGAGGGAAGAGTCAACCAAACATGTAGTAATATATAATGCTCTGTATGCTTCTTTTGTTGAAATGTCACCCTTGGTTTGGAAGTACGTGGGACACCCGGTCCCATGGACCGAGCCGGTCCTGTGCTCCTGCCCAGCCAAAAGGAGAGATTACACAACGCTCTTTGATCAGCCTGGGTCAAAACCCGAGTGGTTTGGCAGCCCTCGGTGGTTGTGCTCCGATGGTCATGCGAACTTCGCTCTGAACCTGTTTGTTCTGGTGCTGGCGTGAAGTCAGCTCAGGAGTTGCCCTGATACAGCTTCTCCCGGTTTAACTTTCGGTCCCTCGGGTGAATTCGGTCTCTTGGTGTCCCAACTCAGAAGAAAAAGCTACACGGAAAAGCAAGGTTCTGTGACTGTCTGGCAGAAATAGGGCATGGCACACAGAGCAATCCCAGCTGGGACATGATTTATTGAGTTACTTGCAATTGCATGGCTGGCTTTAGCAAACAGAAAATAAGCTAAAGTTACTAGTGAGAGACTCCGTGTCGCCAGAATTGAATGCATTCACTGCCACTTACTTATTTACAAGAAACCAAATGGATTAATGCGTTTCTTTATTGAATGCTTACTTGACTCCGAAAACTAGAAAGGTTATTGAATTTGTTTTGTTTGGTTGTTTTCCTAGGCCATAAACGTTTATATAAATTCTTACCAGAATTACTTTTCACTACTTTCTTTACATAAGGTAGCTGTACCAAACATTCAGGAATAGTTTTGAGGGAGCTTGATTACAACATCCATCTGAAAGCCCTACCTCCCTTAGGGGCAGAAAGCCACGGTAGCTGGAAGAATGGGCTGGGGATACACATTTGTGGCATAGTAAATATTAGAAGTGTGCCAGGGCACTGGCTCATATCCTGCAGGACTTGAGAAGTGAGCTAGTGTGAAAAACAAAGGCACTGCAGACTTAGCAACTATGCAGTGCTAATACACTCATTGCTCCTTTCTGTTGTGTTTCTCCTGGGATTCTGTAGAGAGAAGCAATTAGCATTACAGCCATAGGGGATAGTGAAATGTACTTTAAAATGTGAGAACATTCAAACATTCAAAACAGTTGTGAATACTGCTTGACTGTCTTCTGTGCTGGAGCTGCAAGTATTCATGGGTTCTGTTTAGTTTCCTCAGGTTGTGTGGAGGAGGTGTATACAGAGGGGAGAAGAGAGCAGTAGACTATATTTCAATCCCCTTTAAAATGGTCATTCCAGCTATGGAAGGAAGAACTCTGTAACTCAGGCAGTTCAAGAGACAATTGTGAGGCCATCCATTCAAAATCTTTAGGTTGGGTTGCAAACAGTGGAGTCAGTACAGCTGTTGTATTAGTGGCAAACAATTTACTTCTTTGAATGTTGGTTTTTGAAATACAGTTGTCAGTCTCAGAGGTGTGCACAGAGTGGAGTTCTGACTGCACTATTTAGGACTAGAACAGGGCATGAAGCTACAGGCACTCTGAAAGCAGCATTTTCACAGTTGTTCTGTTGTATGCAAGAGTTTGGATTTTTCTTGACTAGTTCACAGTTAACAAAGTTTGATGCCATCCTGCCATCTTGTACCCATGACAGTATATGTCCAGATTCTATTCTTGAACTGAAATGATCAGGTAGGATGACCTATTTCTACTACAGAACTGGAAATCAGCATTTTTTTTTTAATTCTGCTCTAGATGTATCATGTCCAGTAAGAGTCTTGATACAAAGTTTCACTTCATCTTTCTTCATCTGCTCTTCTAGATCCTGTAATCCAAACATAACCACCTGAAAATTTCTGTGGCCACAATGAAGCCTTCAGTGCTGGGATAAAGTGGAGAGTCCAGCTTGCCCAGAAAGACCTCACATGGCCCTAATTCTCAGCCAGTCGTGTCTGAAACGCTCTGTGTGCTGCTGCTCTGTTTTGTGGGTAGCCAGTGGCAGTCCCTGGGCAGTACTCTCTGTGCCAGTACCCACAACTGTAGCCTGCTGTTTGGGGTCAGCTGTTGGGCAGCAGCTGCAGAGCCCTCACAAAAACATTTGTCTTGGACTTCTCAGCTCAGACCTCATTCTGGCAATTG